AGTTTGACAAAAGCACAATGTTGTGTTTTATTGTGATTGTACACAAATATAAGTAAACACTTTGCAGTTTGAATAATGTCCTGTATGAACAAAAGGACGGGGTATGTTTTTATGTCTACATTGTTCAATCACGCCTCACACACACACACACACACACACACACACACACACACACATGTTGGTGCAACAGCATTATGAGGACTCTCCATAGGCGTAATGGTTTTTATACCGTAAAAACTATATATTCTATCCCCCTACACTGCCCCTATCCCTAAACCTACCCATCACAGGAGACATGCAGCATTTTTAATTTTTTAATAAAACATTGTTTTTTATGTTTTTTAAGCCATTTGATTTATGAGGACTTTTGAAATGTCCTCATAAACCACCCATAAGTTGTAATACCAGTGTAATACACATGTCATTATACAAATTTGTGTCCTCATAAATCACATAAACCAACTCACACACACACACACACACACACACACACACACACACCAACTATTTTTCTAATCAGATCAGGCAAGTAATATTCTGTCTTGGCACACTTCATATAACTTTCAAACTTGTGTACTTATTTCATGTGTGCATTAAGTCCATGAGACCGTAGGGTGTCTCATTTTTCATTTTAGGTTTCAGAAGGTTGCTCACGCATACTTTGTGGTTGATATGTGCCCTCAATGCACACTTTTGCAGAGCCCACACCAATGCAAGCTCTACAGCACACATCTTCTCAAAGGTCAAAGCGGAGTTACGATATTGCCCGTCATGCACAGTAACCCTAAAGGCACCGGGGTGGCGGTGCCACCAGCTTGTTTATATATATATATATATAAATATAGCTGCGAGCAGCGATGAAGGGCCAAAGCCGGCGGCACCGCCACTCCGGTGCCTTTAAGTAACTAAAGGCACCGGGGTTGCGGTGCCACCGGCTTGGGCCCGTAATCGCTGCTCGCAGCTATATTTATTCTTATATTTGTATTTATTTTGTTGTTTTTTAATCAAATACTAATTAAAATGTAAACAAATTAATAAAGAAATATGACTATAATACTATTTAACTGTAAACCCATTTATAATGCAAATCATTTTCCAGCAAGTGTTGCATTGACGCTGTATAATTTACAGCTTTCTTTTTGTAAAGAAATTGTGCACAAAACACTTAAATATATAAATATTTAATATAAATATACATACAGCACAGCATTTTTCACATTATAAAGTGGCAGTGTAAGTTGGTAAGGGTCCAATTTAGTATAAAAATATGAAATTTGATACAAACCCATGTAGTTTATAGAGGAATGGTGTCGCAACAACAGTCATTTGAATGCACTTTTGGTCATAAAGGTTTAGTTTTGTAATGTTCTGGTGATATGAGGGCTTAAATGATAGTGTTGTAATGCTGTACGTGTGTAAAGACATCCATCGTTGCTCCAGTGGAGAAGAGCAGGATTTATCCGGGACTGGAAGCCGGTGTGTGTGTGTGTGTGTGTGTGTGTGTGTGTCGTTATCTCAGTCCCTCACGGTGGGAGAAGATGGAGAAGCAAAGCGAGCAGAACCAGGAGTGTGTGTGAGAGATTCACGTCTGCAACATTCGGCTCTGAAACACACACACACACACACATCTGCATGAATTCCTCATTCAACACTAACAATGACTATGTTTACATGTGCACCAATAATGCAGATCACTTACAATAAATCTGTGGTGTAAATCCAGCGTTTAATGTTGTTTATGTGTGTATGTGGTGTTTAATACGCTTTAAGACACACCATGTGTAAGTTCATAAGTCGACAGCATTGCTGAGTATTTCCTCCTTAAAACTGCAGTGAACCAAAGACAGTCTCAAAAACACGGTTTGAAATCACTGGTGTTTCTGACGTCACAAACGACCTTGTAACCAATCAGATCAACGTGTGATCGTCAACCAGTGGATCTCTGAGCTGAGGGAGTGAGTGGAGGCGGGGCTCATTTGCATATTCATAGAACCACACATACTAAATGAGGCGAGGGTGTCGAGTTACATTCAAGATATTTTAAGCCATGAAGACATTTTTATTCAAGTAAAAAACATTTAAATATGTCATTTTGGTGATCACAGATGAGTTTTAAGGGATAATATTGACTACAAGGAGACTTTAATGTCTTGTCTACATGACCGCCACAAACTCTTCTGATTATTCACTAAGAGATGTGGTTATTTTTAACACCATAATTCACAGCACAGATGATGAACTCGTACAGTAAGAGTGTTACTTCACTGCATACTTTAATTTGTTCGCCGGTTCTTTAGTATCCGTCTTTTTTTTTTGGTGATGCTCCTAAAAATGTCAACATGAACTCGTGTTTCTTGCCTCTTTATTGCATTTAACTTCAGCATACGTTTTACTAAGATTATGGTTGCAACAATTATGACCTAACTGCATTAATTTGATCAAAGTATAGTGTTAATATGAGGTGAACTTTAATTGCAATATTGCTTGCATCTCATTATCGCATTATGAGGGTGCGTGTAAACAACAGTCATCGTCACTTAGATTATAAAGAAGAGTTTTAAATGTAGCCAGATTTTATTTTTAAAGGAACATAAAATGATGCTGTTTATCTGCAGAATGAAGCCTTGATTATTTAGTTGACTTACTGTCTCTGTCTGATACGGCGTCTGGATCACAGTCTGTGGAAACTGGAAGATTTGAGAGAGTGAGTAAAGCAATCGCTTGTTTAGTATATAGAATAAGATTTAGACTATAGTTTAATATATAGTAACTTAAAGGAATAATTCACTTAAATACAGTCAAACCAAAAACTATTCAGACACCAGATATCATTTTGGATATTTCTTTACTAGTGTGTGCAGGACACTATAGTTCATTTCTGTAAGTGAGGAGAGCAAACTAAAGTAAACTGTGACATATTACACCCAAATATTCTTCATACAGTGATTACCAGTGACATTTATACACATTTGAGACCAAAAATGATTCCTCCACTTTGAGCTGATCATGTTTTGCTGAAGTGTGTTTTCTGTAATTGCTAATGCTCTTTTTACACACACACTGAACAACATGAAGCATTGCTTGGTCACTGGTTGAGCTAAACTGGTATTATCTAATTGTGTAGTTAAATTTAACAGCTGACAGATATTCAACATAATTCATGTGTGAGAGTCGAACAGAAGGACGGACAAAACCAGTCAAATATCCACTGATCTGAGAACTGAGTTTTGCTCATATTTATCACCATGTTCTAAACTATAGCGAATAAACTGAGATAATGTGAGAGATGTTGAAGGAGTCTGAATATATTTAGGTTTGACTGTATATTCACAATCACGTTTCACAGAAACATTAGAAGACAATAACGATGACTAAAAACTGACAAACTGTTCAGTTTTGGGTCTTCAAGCGTTGATTATATGAGATCTTACCCGGCTTTAAACCCCTGTTGACGTAGAGAGGCTCAGCCGAGGACTTGTTATCATCAGCATATATTCTCAGTGTGATCGGATCGCTCCACTTCGAGCAGTCCGGCACGGCCACAGAACAGCCGTCTCCTGTGAACAAGCTCGAGACGGCACATATCTCCTCATGAACTGTGTCTGAAAGATGCTCGACGTCCACACGAACGCTGTGGTGTTTCTTCAGCTCGTGAACATCATCACCGTCACAAGATAAAGCACACTGAACACACGGCTTCTGTCGAGGAGCACAGCCTGAGGATACACACAATCACATATTCATATACGCTTTCATTCAATAAATACTGACATCAAAACACTGAAGAAATAATATACTCACTTGCACAATAGAAGATGCATGGCAGTAAAACCAGCGCTTTGTGCCTGAGGAGAATAGAAAAGAGCTGATTATTGGCTAGATCTGCACATGCTCACTTTAACTGTTTAAATATTTAATAAAGGTTATATTATAACACTAAGGTTGCCTTAATTTAAAGCCTGAGGCTGAGTAAATATTAGATTTCATCATACTTCCCCAAGTTTATTGATTACATTAATACCTAAAAAGGAAAATTCGGTCATCATTTACTCACCGTCACGTTGTTCCAAACCTGTATTGTAATTTCTCTGTAATGTTGAACACAATCCTTTGTTGAAGAAAGAATAATCCAACAGTTGCTGGTCCCCATTAACTTCCACAGTAGGATAAATAAAATACTGAAGTCAATGGTGCCCATTAACTGTTTGGTTACAAACATTCTACAAAATTATCTTCCTTTGTGTTCAACATTACAGAGAAATTCATACAGGTTTGAAACAACATGACGGTGAGTAAATCATGAACTGGCCCTTTAAATCATATTTAGGAATTTTTTCTATCCTTTTGCTTTGCCCCTTTTCTTTTCTTTTTTTTTTAAATGTTCTTTTATGCTTATCTTCTTTATTTTGTATTATATTAGGACTACTTGTCTGGATTTAAAAAAATCTATTAAAAGTAACAATATCCAATACGTTATGACGTAGCCAACTAAAACTCTTGTACCTAGTTGAAAGTTTTTTTTTTATTGTTTTTTTTAAATTGTTTATTTGGCTAATTTGTGTTTTGACATTTCTAAACATAAATAAACCTAATAACAAGATAAGAGCCAAACATTCAATCTGGCTGTTGGATATTGACATACTTACGGGTTAAAACGTGTAGGCATGTTTGTTAATGGTCCCCAAGAATTCCGGAAGTCCCCGATATTTTCGCTAAAACACAGGGTTTTAATTCAGGGAAACCGATGAAAATGGCCGGAGTTCAGTATGAAGGCAACCCGAAACCAGATATCCAGAAAATTCGATCCCCGAAATCAAGATCTAGTAATTTTACCGAGATTTCACTTTGCACGTGTAAAAAAAAAGTGACTGCCGGATGATCACGAGATTGGGGATTCACCACTGATCTATATAATGACTGGATAGCTGAGCTCATGACGTTTATTCTATATAGATCAGTTTACGTGAGATGTGACGTGGTGACGTCACGTCACGCCGCGGGTCACATGATTGACTGAAACCAAAACAACCCAGTAGAAATGTCAGTTCTTCATTCCGCTTTTGTGTTCAGAGTTTAAAACATGTCGATGTTTAAAGTGAACTTTATATGTTCGGTGCTGTTTGTTGTGTTCGGTGCCGCGCTTGGGTTTCTGGGAAATGGAGATACATTTCGACGAAAGGTGAGAATAAATCATTGAGATCAAGCGAAAACAATGAAACAAACTTCATACCGGTACAACAACAAATAACCTTTAGAAAGCTGCAAACACCTACAGAATAGACACTTCATAGAAAAAATATTATTTTTACGTTTCGTTTTTTGAATCTAGTCTTTGAACGTGGTGTTTATTACAGCTGAAGCCATGTGTCAAGTTTTATTGATAATTGTTCATTTTCTGTATATTTAGGCTCATCTCTTACAAAAAGCTGGTTCTCAGGTTCCTCTTTGTGTGTTTTTGAAAGGTTGGATCAGAACTAGATAGTATTTCAGTATAATAAGTTGCATGAAACTGTATTATATAAATGAATTATGATTTATGTGCTGTTTCATAAGACCTTTGAAACCCATAAACACCCAAGTACAACTGATTTAGTGTTATGTGAATATAATTCTACATTTACAATATTAATATACATTATTAATAATGATGACAAATCATTCATTTGAACTGGTTCTTTTCAGTGACTCGGTTAAACTAATATACAAAGCATTTACAGTCACAGCATTAGAGACATTTGACCATTTATAAATAACTTCAGTTTAATATAAATGTTTAATTGACAAGCGATAAAGTGTAATTTCTTAATTTGCCATGATTGAAGTCATACAGTTACATTGTAACTATGTAACTTTGACAACTGGACATTTTGCAGGAAAATATTAGCATATATAAAGCAAAACATTACTGATCTGTTTGATAATTCCAACACTATCACAAGTCAGGTTTTGCGATTCAACAAAATGTCCTCTATGTTAGTCAGTTTGAAAACTTTACCTTGCTGATATACAGTCAAACCAAAATATATTTCAGACTCCTTCTACATTTCTCACATCATCACAGTTTATTCGCTATAGTTCAGCTAATGGTAATAAACATGAGCAGAACTCAGAGTTCTCAGATCAGTGGATATTTGACTGGTGTTGTCCGTCCTTCTGTTAGACTCTCACACATGAATTATGTTGAATATCTGTCAGCTGTTAAATTTAACTACACAATTAGATAATACCAGTTTAGCTCAACCAGTGACCAAGCAATGCTTCATGTTGTTCAGTGTGTGTGTAAAAAGAGCATTAGCAATTACAGAAAACACACTTCAGCAAAACATCATCAGCTCAAAATAATGTTTATTAATTTGTCCGAAATGTGTATAAATGTCACTGGTAGTCTCTGTATGAAGAGTTTATGGGTATAATATGTCACAGTTTACTTTATTCTGCTCTCCTCACTTACAGAAATGAACTATAGTGTCCTGCACACACTAGTAAAGAAATATCAAAAATGATATCTGGTGTCTTAATAATTTTTGGTTTGACTGTAAATCATCTGAATTCACAACAACGATATTCAACACACACTCTAAACTGAATCTGACACGTCTCCAGTTGTGGTAAAGGGTTTGTGATCAGTTAATGATGAACACACACTTCTCTCTGGTGTCCTCAGGTGTCAGTCGAGCTGAACCCGGGTCTGAATCCCCCCTCGTCTCTTCCTCCGGGAGTCGCTCTGGTTCACGCGCGAGGACTGGGACTCAACGACACGCTGCACTTCTTGCTGTGTAACCGAGGAGCTCCAGCGCTGCTGCTGGTCCACACGAACAGCACCGAGTCCGCAGTGCGGGTCAACTGGCCCGAGTTCATCAACCGTAGTTCCTCGGGCAGCCTGACGGTGGCGCCGGAGAGCAGCGTGACCTACAGCTCCGCTCTAGTGTTCACCAGGGTGAGACGGGTCATTTCATCATCATCAGGGGTTACACCTATGACATTAGCTCCTGGTCACTACAGGAACACTCTTAAAGGGATAGTTCACCCAAAAATGAATATTCTGTCAGTAATTACTCTCCCTCATGTTGTTCCCTGTAAGACTTTCGTTCATCTTCAGAACACAAATTAAGATATTTGTGATTAAATCTGAGAGCTGCATCACTCCTCCATAGGCTTCTAGGTAATCGATATCTGCCGGCCCAGAACGTTAGTAAAGACAATGTTTAAAATAGTCCAAGTGACTACAGTGGCTCAACCTTAAGATGCAGATAACTATACATTAGTTAAGGTCATTTCTATAGGGCTGAGCAAATATTCAACTATTCAAAAACTATTGATTTTCTTCTTCTGAGTTCACTAGTGTAACAGCGCAGCGCTTCTCACGGAGGAAAATCAATTCGTTATTTTAGGGGTTTTTGCGCACAGAAAGTATTCTCGTCGCTTGATAAACTTAAGGTTGAGGCGCTGTAGTCACTCGGACTATTTTAACGATGTCTTTAATAACTTTTCTGGGCCGGCAAGTTTCAATCCCTTAGAAGCCTATGGAGGAGTGATCCAGCTCTCAGATTTAATCACAAATATCTTAATTTGTGTTCCGAAGATGAACGAAAGTCTTACGAGGTTGAACAACATGAGGGAGAGTAATTACTGACAGAGTTTACATTTTTTTGTGAACTAACCCTTTAAAATAACCGAAATAACCCTCGAGTGTTTAGTGACCCGGGACGTCATTCACTACCCTCCTCCTCCTCATTCATTTTTTAGAGTTAGATATCAACCTTCTTAGTATTTCTCAATCAATTCATTATAAACTATTTAACAAGAAAAAAATAAAATTATAAAATAATACCTGTTTTGCCATTCATTTTTTGTTAACGACCGTTACAGTGTTTTTTTTTTTTTTCAACAATAGTTGAACCTTTAATGACTAAATAAGAGCAATTCACCTTTATTCCACACGATGGCATTGCCTGATACACACTGATGACGTGTTTCACTCATAGTTGCCGCAGGCAGAAAACAAAAGAATAGGAGGAATCATCAGCAACACTTGAAAAGCTCATTGATTTACAGCACAAACACAAGCACACATGAGTGTCACTGATGGTGGGTCTGGTGAAGAAGCTGTCAGCGGTCAAAATATAGATTTTAAAGATGTGAGAATATGTGTGAGATGGAGAATATGAGGCTGAATGTACTGATGAAATGATGATGGGATAAAACATCCGCTCAAACTGAACACTCACAAGCTCCAAAAAGGACAAAATATGCTTTATTTTATTCTCCTGTAAGTGTGACTCTAATATCAGGAGAGTTTTATATTATCACGACAGGTCGAGATCCATTTGTGTTAGATATATATCCAGTCCTGATTATGTAATAATGACTGGCGAAACATTCATGCTTTTAAGGATTATAAAGAGAAAGGAAATGAATAACATTAGCAAACCATGGGAATGAAGGTAAGAAGTGAACAGTGTGTGTGTGTGTGTGTGTGTCTCAGATCTGGGAGTACGATGACGTCAACAACACCGCTGACCCACAGACGACAGCAGAGTCCAGTTTCTACTCTCCGTACGAGCTCCAGAACTTCATCTGGGCGGACCTGAACGCCACCGCCAACCACTCGGATCATGTGATCACGCTCTGCGGCCGGGAGAACACCGAGAGCTTCGTCAACGGCTCGCTCTGTCTGAGAGTAAGCAGAACTGCAGCACACACATAACACACTGTTTTCATATTACACCAAATTGTAATATGGACTCATGCACTTGCTTTGAAATGATGTGTGTTGTGAAAAGCGCTATACAGATAAAAGTGAATTGAATTGAATTGAATATGGAGATGATTCATGTGTAAGAAATATGATGTGGACGTCGAAGATCTCAAAAATGAAGTTTATTACAGCATAGCAGTGGCAAAGCACAGCTTGGGTTCACCTGTGTCAGAACGAACCCAGAACATCCAGATCTCAAACCTTTTATCCTGTCACAGTTCACCACTCTTAATGTGATTTGATTTCTATTCAAAAGCTCTCAATGCGATTCGATTCACAAGCTCTCAATGTGGTTCGATTTCGATTCACAAGCTCTCAATGCGATTCGATTCACAAGGTCTCAATGTGATGCGGATTCGATTCACAAGGTCTCAATGCGATTCGATTCACAAGGTCTCAATGCGATTCGATTCACAAGGTCTCAATGTGATGCAGATTCGATTCACAAGGTCTCAATGCGATTCGATTCACAAGGTCTCAATGCGATTCGATTCACAAGGTCTCAATGTGATGCGGATTCGATTCACAAGGTCTCAATGCGATTCGATTCACAAGGTCTCAATGTGATGCGGATTCGATTCACAAGGTCTCAATGCGATTCGATTCACAAGGTCTCAATGTGATTCGATTCACAAGGTCTCAATGTGATTCGATTTCGATTCACAAGCTCTCAGTTCGAATTGATTTCGATTCACATGCTCTCAATACTATTCGATTCACAAGGTCTCAATGTGATTCGATTCACAAGGTCTCAATGTGATTCGATTCACAAGGTCTCAATGTGATTCGATTTCGATTCACAAGCTCTCAGTTCGAATCGATTTCGATTCACATGCTCTCAATACTATTCGATTCACAAGGTCTCAATGTGATTCGATTCACAAGGTCTCAATGTGATTCGATTCACAAGGTCTCAATGTGATTCGATTTCGATTCACAAGCTCTCAGTGCGATTCGATTTCGATTCACATGCTCTCAATGCAATTCGATTCACAAGGTCTCAATAAAAAGAAATGAAGAGCCACAAACCTGCATATTAAACTCTTTTTATTTCAGGTACACTTGGGTGTGTTAAAACAGAACCCAACTCTATATTTCAAATGCATGCGATGAATAGACAGGATTTTGATGCAAGATGAAAAATTGATGCTAGAAGAAATTGGACGAGTGAACAGTGGCAAGCCTTGATCACACACGATCAGGTTATATTATGTTTAAGATAAAACACACATAAAGTCTCCCAGCATTCTCTGTAACATGCAGGCCTGTGAACAGTGGAGGAACACTAACACTGGCTTCTGGGTGATAGATAAATAAATATGTAAAAAAAATCGATTCATGGCCTTTGAGAATCTATTTTGAATCGACCACATTTTAAAAAACGATTAATCGAAAAATGATGTGATAAACCCAAATAGTGAAGAAACGATATAACTCCCCCTCCTTCATGTCTATGATGATTAAGGCATTTAGAGGACGAGCTCATTCACACACACATATCCTGGGGTGTAATCTGTGGAGGCCGACTGCAGTCTCTCACACGTGTGTGTGTGTGTGTGTGTTCTCCTCAGCTGTCGCTGTTCGAGTCTGCGGGCCGGGACGGAGCGTGGCCGAGTCTCCTGCATCACTCCAACTCTTCTCAGCTGCACGTGTGGCTGGACGGGGCGGCGCCGCGGGGGAACCGCTCTCGCTTCGCTCTGGAGTTTCAGTCGGTCGGGGACGCCGGCTTCCAGGGGAGAGTGGATGTGCGCAGCTCCATAGATGATGAATACACTCCTTCCATCTTCAAGGTACAAACTTCAACACACCTGGACATTTTCTCAGATTATTAAACTCTACTGTTTCATATATGTGAGCAGTCCCTAACCTTTTTTGTGTCTGAGACCCCCTTTTTCCCAAGAAAATATTTTAGGGCCCCCCTTCACATTTAAAGGGATAGTTCACTTTGAAATACATTTTTGGTATGTTTTAGCTTACCTCAAGGGCATCCAAGATGTAGGTGTCTTTGTGTCCGCAGTAGTTTCAATATTGATATTTTTAGGTCAAACCGTTCTTGTCTGTCAGTCATATAATGCAGGTCTATGGTCACCACCTCAAAGAGCATGCACAGAGAAGTCCAAATTAAACATGATTTAATGACTCGTAAATGTAAGTTCACATTGATGGCCTAAGACACGAAACGAGCGGTTTGTGTGAGAAAACGAACAGTTTTTATATTAGTTTTTACCTCTTGTAAACACAGCCACATCCAAGTGATCTGAGGGCGCCGGCGCTTCGGTCTGAGCGTTACAAGAGGTAAAAACGATATTAGGTCAAGAACGGTTTGACCTAAAAATATCAAAATTGAAACTACTGCGGACACAAAGACACCTACATCTTGGATGCCCTTGAGGTAAGCTAAAACATACCAAACATTAATTTCAAAGTGAACTATCCCTTTAATGATATTGTCGCTCTTGTAAGCTTGCAGCAAGGATGATAAAATGTTTTGTTTTTAACCAAACGGTATGTTTATTACTATAACCAGATATGTTTATGCACAAATAATATTGAAAATACTATAACAAAAACATCAGTTTGCAATTTAAAAACGTAAACCTAGGAGTAGCCTATTAATTGGCCCTATTTGAAGTGCAATAACAAAAATATATATATAGGGAAGAAATAATGAATACAGGCTATTACAAAATGACTGGTGTCTGGGACCTTAATACTTATATGTTATTTGTGAGGCTTTATCAATCAGTGTGAGGATTGCATCATTATATCTATGACGAGTCACGCAGTCACTGCTACTCCAGCGGTGCGACCCGAACCAGTGTAATATACTCCCGATATAAACACTGACTATAGGTGGACCATAGTGACTCAGGATAAGACAAAAACACGGTTTGGAAAATGGATTCATGATGTACTCGCTCATTATATAAATTTCGTCAATTCTGACCACAAAAAGTTACGGACTGCTGTTTTAATGCTCACTGTTCAACACTTTTCAAAATATGACGCCGACGCCCCCTTGTGGGAACCGATGATACATGTGACCCTGGACCACAAAACCAGTTACATGGGTACATTTTTTGAAATTTCGATTTATGCATCACATGAAAGCTGAATAAATAAGCTTTCTATTGATGTATGTTTTGTTAGGATATACAATATTTGGCCGAGATGCAACTATTTGAACATCTGGAATCTGAAGGTGCAAAAAAAATCTAAACATTGAGAAAATCTCCTTGCATTTATGTTCGTGATTTTGCTGCATTCACTCACAAAAATAAATGTTTTATATATTTACGGAAGGAAATTTACAATATATCTTCATGGAACATAAAAGAAAAGTCGATAATTTTGACCCATACAATGTATTGTTATTACCACAAATACACCCGTGCGTCATGTGACATTTCCTCAGATTATTAAACCCTACTGTATCATTTGTGAGGCATGAATATCCAAAGCCTGTAAATGGTGAAATATTTGCTGTCTCACTCAATCTCTCATCCTTCTGTCTCTGATTGACAGTTCAGACTCTTTTATCCAGTAAAAGTCTTTTAGTATAATTATACAAACGTCCTTCAGCTCGAGCTTCATGTGTGTCAGATCTGAGCTGATTTTATCAAGAATAACTTTAATATTGTAATATGTCAATATGTAATATTTCAGCCAGACTAGTATCAAATATGATCATCAGGTTTATATTCATCTCTAAATCATCATTGTGTTGCATTGTTTTAAAAACTACAGAGCTTTGATCATAAAACTAAGCATTTAAATATCATCTTACTAAGACATATTATTGGCAGATATTGATATTTATATGCATTTTATGTACGGATCTGCTATACTGTGATAAAGATCTCATTCACATTACAGAATTACATCACGTTTTGTCTATATAAATATCTGCAACTGCAGCAACATGTATATTTGTATGTTCAGTTTGAGTCTAAAATGTATCCTATGATTTTTTTCTCCATATTCTCACTATATATGAGCCAAAAAAGCATAATTTCTATATATTATAATATTTCATATGTCCGGCTTTACAGAGTTAAGTCAAAATGAAGCTGTCTTTTCTCCTCTATTGTTCTGTATATCCGAGTGAAGCGCTTCTGGAACAAGAACACATGTGGGCGGGGCTTGATTGTGTCTGTGAGGAACTGATTGGATGGTTGTGGTTTGCTATTGGCTGATCTCATGTGAGTGACAGGTTAAAGCCCCGCCCACATCATCAGAGAAAAGAAGAGATGCTGCAAGAGGAACATAAATTTAACACAATAATGATGTGCACTGATAAATCATTTATTATTGCATACACTGCAATATTCCATTGACAGATGTTTATGTGCTGTTCTCCTGTCAGGTGTTTGACTGGGTGTCGCTCCCGCCGAACTCCAGCAGTGTGTGGGGTTTCTCCCAGTGGAAGCCCGTGGCGTACCGTAAGCCGGCGCCGGTGTTCGAGGACGCGACGCCCTGCAGACACTCTCCTCTGGTGTCCGTGAGCCGGGTCCCTCCGTCCGCGCTGGTCCAGGCCTACTTCTCCCGCCCGCCTCAGACCCGCGGCCTCAACATCAGCTTCGGGGTCGATAAGGACCCGGCCTTCTACAGCGACACCCGATACATCAGCTGGTGAGAGCACACCGCTGCACTGTGCAACCACTACGCCATTTTAGATCCATCACTTACCTCTTTACACACAGGTGACACTCCAAAAATTAGAATATCGTGCAAATGTTGATGTATTTCAGTAATTCAAATTAAAAGGTGAAACTAATATTAGTATATATACAGTATACATATGCATGATTATACTTTTCGGAGGGCCGACATTTCTGTATTTAAAATCCTTTTTTTTATTGATTTCACTTAATATTCTAATATTTGGGGTTTTCATAAGCTGTAAACCATATTCATCAAAATGATAACTGTATTTTTAATTATTCACCTGTATACTGGCTGATTAGTATCTGTTAGGAAATAACGTAATTTTTTTAAATTAAATATTTAAATATTAAATATAAATTTAATAAATATAAATATATTTAAAAATTTAATTGCTTTTGATTTTTTTTATATTTGAATTGAAGATATTAAAAATATTATGTATTAAATAAATATTCTATTATTTTATTGATTATAATTTTCGATTGGTTTCTTCATTTACCTTTTTACTCATACTTGTCGATTGGTATTATTAAAGGAATAATAAAATATTTAAAATATTACAAAATTAATCTTTAAAATATATATAAAATATTTAAATTGTAAATATTAAAATATTATATAATAATTAATTATACAATTACTATAATTAACTATAATTTTCTGTTGTTATTTATTTTTGGTTTATAATAAACTTTTCTTTTTTTTACCATACTTCCCGATTATTATCTGTTATTAAATTATAAAATATTGAAACAATAGTTTAAAAACAAGGTTTTAGGTTTGTTTTTGAATATTTTAATCAAAAATATTAAAAATACTTCATATAAATTGTTATTTTATTGATTGTAATTGTTTTTTGTTTTTTTATTCATCTTTTTTTCTTTTTCTTTTTTTCACGCATACTTGCCAATTAGTATCTTTTGGGAAATATTACAAATATTTGTGAATTGTTCTTAAATATTTTTAAATATTTGATGATATAAAAATACTACATATTAAATAAATATTAAATTGTTAAATTGATTATCTTATCGCGTGAGTGATCTTAGACTAGTTTTACACTAATTGCATCTGTGATCAACTATAAAGCACATATTATTACTATATTATTGCTTAACCTTTTTAGCAAGTGTGTATAGTTTTTCCAAACGAGTAAAATACATGTTTAAATGTTTCACAAGTGAAGTAGGTTTCCTGAACACGCCCCTTGTCAGTCAAACAGATAGTCCCGCCCCCGAACTCACGTGATTGGTTGATTCAGCCACTCAAACAGATCAATGTCCTGAAAGTGTCAAATTACCAATGAGTGAATTATAGACTCTGAACAGCAGCCAACAGCTTTAAAACACATTAAATGAGCTGTACCTGATATTAAACACAGCATTGTCAGAATGAGAGCGTGTGTGTGTGTGTGAACAGTGTTTGTGTGAACTCCCTCCAGGACTGTGTTAATGGGCATGGGCGACCCTCCAGCTGACTCCTTCTCCACGTTAATCATTATCATCATAGCCGTTGGACTCGGCACTCCGCTGGCCATCATCGTCGTGGGCGGAGTGTTTGTGTGTGTCCGCAAGAGGATGACACGATCCTCAATCTACGAGCCAATCAACTGAGACGTCAGGGTACAAGCCCCGCCCCAATGCACACACACCTGCCAATCAGTGCTGAGGTCACGGACCCCTGATTGGACGATCAGAATGATCACATGCACGTCACTGATGATGATGAGGAGGAGGATTTGCCTGAACATTTGCAGACAAACTCCCTCTGGAAGAAGTGTTTTTGATTCAGACATTACGAATGTTTTACACCTTTATACTTAAAACTGGAAAAAAATCGAGTGATAATTTGATTTTGTTCATTTTTTTAGACATGATGCTTATTTGTTCTGTGTCCCATAATAATAATAATAATAATAATAATAATAATAATAATCCTGCGTGCCTAATCAGTTATTTGCCCAATTTTAAAACATTAATTTCTCTTTAATCCTAAAATATATGCAGATGTTTAGAGAAATAAATGACCAAAGGCTCTCAGGGATTCTGGCGTCAGTGGTTTCGTGTTGCTCTTCTTCTGGTGTGTTTAGGAGAACGCTGCCGGTTTGAGGCACATTTGCATTTTGTAAACATTGATTTGCACCACATTTAAAAACACTCTGAAATTTTCTGTTTTTGTTACCAACAGTTACTAATAAAAATGTAAATATGGATTTAAAACTGCATCCGTTTGTTTCTCTCTACATAAGCTCCTCCTCCTCAACACTGATTGGATGAAGTTGTGTGTTTGATGTTTCATACACCTGTCAATCAAACATCTAGTGCATCATTTATTCATAAACATCAGATTCAAGGGCAAACATTAGTAAACATGAGGAATATGGCACAAATCAACAGTTATAATCACAGCATGATGCATTTATGAAATATCAAACATCAAAATAATTTTCTGTAAAACAAAAACACTATTATCCAACATATCCGGGTTACAAATAACAACTTACACTGCTTTATAAAAGAGGGCTTTTTAGGAGATTTTGACTATTAAACATATCCCTGTTATTTATTTTTTACATTAGTTATTAGAAAGACATTTTTAAAACAATAATGAACATTTGGAGGGTAATGTGTTTGTCATGAAAAAATGCAAGACATCATAATGATCATAAAACAACCTTCACTTGATAAACAAAATATAAAATATACTTGGTTACGCTTTACTTGAAGCCTTAATGTATAATGCATTATAGAGTTATTCATAAAGTATGTTATCATGCATTATAAATAATTGTAACCAAAGTAAAAATGCATTATAATATTTGCAGATTCCTTCTTACATCTGAAATTGTTTTATATAAAGGTGTAAGAATGAATATATATGTATTATAACGGTGGTTACAATTATTCATGAGCTCAGATCATACACAAGGCATAAGTAATGCATTAAAAATACTTTATAATGCATTCTTCATAAAGTCTTTAAGTGACGTGTTACAATATTTGTTCTTCTTAGATTTCAGACAGGCTTTGTGAGATTCACTCGACTATTGAGGTCAATCCTGAAAGAGCAAGCACAGGTTCAGCAGTTAAACCGGTTTCTTCATCCCAGTCAGTGCAAGAGAGAATCTGTCCCGAGGGATTCTCCCAGTCTTCATCCTTCATTATTCAATCGTCTGGACGGACAATTCCAGTGATCATTCTGAAGTCACGTCCATCTTTATATATTCTGAATGCTGAACATCTGATTGGTTCACCCCCACCATCGTAGTCTTGGGGGCGGGGCTGTGGGGGGCGGAGCCACGTGAAACACCGCCTCCGGTCCGCCCACAGAGCCGATGAAATACAGGTTTGCTCCCAGAAGAAGGAGCAGCGGCAGGAACGAGAGCGCGAGTCCGAGAGCTCGTACACTGCTGCCGAACGCCACACACACCCAGTAGATCAGCCTGAGGACGACAACACATTCAATGAGCAACAAACACACGGAAACGAATCTGAGCGTCATAAAGTAACATGCGTTGCGTACTCTTTGAAATTACTTTTTGAATATAAAACGTAATATCCGGTCACATTTTTTAACCCTCAGGTGCTCTTCGTTTCGGAGTCACACTTGTTATCTTCCCGGTCAGAAGTGACCGGACACCTAAAAATGAAACTTTCTCCATCCCAGTAAAACCAATGCAATTTATTTTTGTTCAATAATATTTTTTCTTTTTAATTTTGTATTTTGAGACAATTTGATGTTACTTATTAATATTTATGGTCCATTTTTGCCATTAAAAAACATTACAAATTTTTTTCTTCCTAATTTATAAATATATTTCTTCAATTATTGCAGTATTTCAGATTAATATAGAGACCTGGCCTTTTAAATCCAATTTTTGAAGTCAGATTAGCGCCATCTGTTGAGAGAAATTAAAATAAAACATGTCGTTTCATAGTGTAACCACTAGATGCCTGTATAGCTCTCTATGGAGAGGCTTGTGAATTCTCTAATAGTTTTTTGGACAAAATTACTTAGTTTTAAGATGTGGATTTGAATGTGTGTTTTTTTTTTTAATTCTCAAATAATATTTTTTGCCATGGTTTATAATTTTTTTTTAAATAAATTTGATGTGAAGTGTACACGTTTTTGCATTATTACTACAGTCAAACCTGAATACAGAGAAAGCATTCTGTTACAGGTAACATTACAATTCAATAAAAAATAAAAAAAAAAAAAACAGTAATGCTTTTTCACAGCTTATTATTATTTATATTATTGTTATTTTTTTTAAACATTAATTTATTATTTTTAAATATTATATGAATTATTATTTTAATAATTTTTAACAATTTTAATAATTATTATATATATATATATATATATTAATTATAATTTTTAATTATGTTATGTTTTTCACTATTGATGGGGTTTTTTTCTGCATTGTGGCCGATTTGTAGAGAATTTGTGTTTGTCAATTTCCCATTCATTTCCTATGGTCGGTCAATTCACTGGTGTGTATGTGTATAACAAGTGTGTTTGTATGTGTGTGGGTGAGTGTGTCTGTTTTGCACTCTTGATGTTTTAGAGTGTCACCCCTTCATTGTTGAGCACTTTTTCTGCATCGTGGCCGATTTGTAGATTGTACACACACAAATTCTCAAAGTTTTTGTGTTTTTGTCAATTTCCCATTCATTTCCTATGGTCGGTCATGTTTGACAGAAGAGCAAAAGTGTGACTATTTTTTTTACGACCACTTAGCCTGCTCGGATCATGACCTCATTTATTTTGTGTGTTCATATACCCAATGCCATAAAAGTCACCAAGTTTCGTAACATTCCGATGAAGCTGTGATTTTCAAAAAATTTCAAAACAGAAAATTTTTCGGTCAGAAATGACCGGAGAGCACCTGAGGGTTAAATAAGAACATTTTATTGAATTTATTTACTTAGTTGGAAATCTCTACCTTCCCCAAACCATGTAACAAATTAGTAATGTGATTTTAGAGTATAGGACTAAGGTTTTCCAAGAAACATGCAACATTTAAAACATTTTTTTACAGGATTTATTTACTATTACTTACAAATACAGTTGAAAATGTTTCCCCTCCCCAAATATTTTAATGTTAACGCATAATTATTTACGTAATTTTAGAGTATTGGAATAATGTAAATGTTACTTTTCAAAAAAATCTTAAAACCAAAATTTTTCAATTTAAATGTAACTGTTCAAATGATGTGAATGTAACATTTTAAAGTAAATTTTTTATTTATTTAAACAACAGTATTCCAATGGAAATGCTACATTTAAAAATCTTAAAAGTAACACTTTTCCAATTTAAAGGTAACATTATTAAAATATTTTAAATGGAACATTTAAAAGTAACATTTTGCCAATTTAAACGTAAATGTGTATTGCAAAAATGTAAATGTTACATTTAAAATTCTTAAAAGTAACACTTCAAATTTAAAAGTAACAGTATTCCAATAATGTAAATGTTAAATTTAAAAGTCTTGAGAGTACCTCCCCAGCACACAGACACACACACACACACACACACCTGCCGAACACGAAGACGATGGTGAGCAGCGGCACCAGTTTGAGCAGGTCCGGTTGGGCGTAGGTCGCCATGACAGCGAGCTGGAGGAAGAAGAGCAGGGAGAGGTGGAGCGAGTCTCGAACGAAGAGTCCGTGAACGACGACCCCGCGATTCTCCCACGTCCCGTCGAACAGAGGCTTCAGCGTCCCGAACCGCAGCCGGGACAGGCCCTGGACCAGCACACCTGCAGCACAGGCCACGCTTATTAATAATGCTTTAATGGTAGTGTATATATATACAGTCAAACCAGAAACTATTCACACACCAGATATCATTTTGGATATTTCTATACTAGTGTGTGCAGGACACTATAGTTCATTTCTGTAAGTGAGGAGAGCAAAATAAAGTAAACTGTGACATATTACACCCAAATATTCTTCATACAGCGACTACCAGTGACATTAATAACAATTTGGGACCAAAAATGAGCTGGTTATTCCTCCACTTTGAGCTGATCATGTTTTGCTGAAGTGTGTTTTCTGTAATTGCTAATGCTCTTTTTACACACACACTGAACAACATGAAGCATTGCTTGGTCACTGGTTGAGCTAAACTGGTATTATCTAATTGTGTAGTTAAATTTAACAGCTGACAGATATTCAACATAATTCATGTGTGAGAGTCTAACAGAAGGACGGACAAAACCAGTCAAATATCCACTGATCTGAGAACTCTGAGTTCTGCTCATGTTTATCACCATTGTCTAAACTATAGCGGATAAACTGTGATGATGTGAGAGATGTTGAAGGAGTCTGAATATATTTAGGTTTGACTGTATGTATATATATGTGTGTGTTTTATAGATGCTCACCCAGCACGATGGGCACGCTGGCGAAGAACGCACAGCGCAGTGTGTAGAGCAGCCTGAGGGGGGTGCTGTCGAGCGCAGGGGCGTCGAAGGGGAGGAGCTTGTAACCGGCCCACGTTAGTAACGGGAACATGAGCGCGGCAGCCGTTACACACACACACAACCGCACAACCTCCACACAACTGCTG